CTTACATATGGTATTATATTTATATTTTGTAAAACTAATAGTCTTGAAGTATTCTATAAAGGTCCAGACACACCGGATGCGATTCGACAACGCGACGCGAAAACAGAATGACAACTATTTTTCCAGTCGGTCTATGCTGCTTTACGATGTAGAGGAAATAGCAGATAAATTACCTGTTGGCCAATGTTGAAAACCAAGGTGTTTTACAACCTTTACTCACAATTAATAGCGTTACTGAATCAGCACAGACACGAATTTTAACTGACTTATATATACAACCAGCGAATTTGAAAAAAATTGAAAGAGCTCTGTCAAATTTTAAAATTTCAAAACATTGCGTTCTACAATTTACTGGTACAATAGATTGGAACGATTTAATTTAAAACTTTATAATATATGTTAATAGTTTACTAATTTGTAACAAAAAGCAGAATTGAGACTGAAAACGTTGAGACTGAAAACGTTGTTGGAAGTCTCGAAATGATATTGAAAATAACTCGTCTTGTTTGATTCCACTGGCCATGGTGTACAACTGAAAACAACTCATAAAATGGGTGGCTCGCAAACCCTGTATGGTTGCAAATGACTTTCTGCGGCAGGTTATGAATATGCAATGTACAAAAATATTGCATGCATGAGAGGTTTGCCATTCCTATCTCACCCCTGGCCCTACCGTCATATCAACATCAAAATTTCAGGATCAGCTAGCCCTCTGAAATCCACCCCTTTTTTATTCATATCATTCAATTCCCATGCACATGCAAGCTCCTTTTTCTGATTTCTCCGGGAACACTCTTTTGGTGGGTTCCATTTAAACCTTCGCCTTATTTAAGATTCAAACCATATTTTGAAAAATTCTGTGTCTTAGTGCAGATCTATAATGAAAGGTAAACGACAACAGTCCACAATATTTTCGAATAACATTCCTAACTGCACACAAATAGGCACAAAATATACCCTATATAGTACAAAAACAACTATAATCCAATGCAATAATATTCCAAATCATGCATGAAGACAACAAGACAGGTATACCCTTAACTTCCTTTCATAACCTTCCAGCCTATTTACGACAGCTAGCTAGTGTACTGCGCTATGCGGGACAACATCTCCAGAACCAGATGTATTTATCCGACTTTCCTGTTTTACCGCTCTAAAAAGTTGCTAAGTTTAAAGGTAATGGAGCTTTTTAGAATTTTGATCAAAATGCAACGTTTATGTGCAGCCCAAATTTATTTGTGCTATTTCTAGTTTATTATTATACTATTGTCTGCACGACGATGAAAAATGTAATAATGAGCAATACTTTGCAGTTACCAATCAACCAGTTTCAAAAGAATTACGTTATTAAGAGGTGGTGCATTGAAAATGGAAAACGCAAGGTTGTAAGATCTGAGTCAAATGTTATATAATTAGGATTTATTTATTACAAAGTGTACCAAAGAATGCTAGTAATGCGTTTCGTATCCACATAATTGTTGAAGCAAGTTCTAGCATGCAACTAAATTTCTATAGCTTTCTAACCCTACCTCGCGAAATTATTATGAAACCTATAAGAATGTCGGAAAGAAACGAGTTCTTTATAGCTTCTTATTTTCTTACCCATTTCAACATTGTTGCGTGTGTCTGTTAAATTAGTCTCCAAAAGCAAAGTAATTAGGGTTCATAAGCGCGTATCAACAGAGAGACAATTCAGTTCCCTTCATTGATGTCATGGGAAGTTTTAATGCTTTAGAAGTTACATACGATACGAGTTTTATCTATTAGAAGAAAACGGGCCATTTGTATATCAAATAAATTTTTGAACATTTCACGAGCAACTTACCAATAGTTAACCGGCCCATGAAAAACGCGATGTGCTTAGTAAAAATGCTATACAGGGTGTCTCAAAAAAACCCAAAATCATTGAAATAACGTATTGTTCGAATTTCAATGCCGTAACACAAAGGATTTTGACAGGGTGATTAATTTGTTTTAAAAAATTAAAATATCTTTGTAAAGTGAACGTTTGTTTGCTCATGGGAATGTAAAAATGCTTCGTAAATTGTAATATGCGCAATATGCATTCGTGGGTTTAGTACTTTATGCCTGACATAACAAGTTTACGCTGAGTATATTACCATTCATTATAGCAGTTATGTCAATCTTTTATGCACTCGTGGGATTAACTTAGTGCTAGGGCATTGAATATCGAACAATACGTCAATTTCAATGATTTTGGTTTTTTTTGAGACACCCTGTATAAAGAGTTTCGTTGCTAAGCGGCTAGCATTTAATTCCCTATTGCACGCATATATAGGCCTACGAGACAGGAGGTTCGCGCGGCTGCGCTCCTATAGTCAGCCTTTAGTAGGGCAGATTCAACCCGAAAAGATCGGGGAATTGCTGTGCCTGCTTGATTGGGTATGCATATGATGTATTTTGTCGGATCACATGTAGTACAATGAGCAGTTTTCAAAAGAATGAATGCAGAATTACTCATAAATAGTTGTATATATTTTTAATTTATCGTTTTAAGGTTAACTTTGTATTTCCGGGTGTCTGCGTGTATAGGAGATGTGTTCTGTCTATATATGCCTTTTATTCAGCTAACAATAAAACCAGGATAATGTCACGCAATTTCCTTTAATGTCGAGTGAAATTTTCTTCGCCCCCCTATAGTTTTTCCACCCGTACGCCAAAGTTTACAAGTTACACTAAATTAATGTATACTAGAAAACAATATTTACAGGTGGATGAAAACGTACTGAATTTTACATGCATGACAATGAATAGTTTCCAAGATGCTGACAATTCAACTTACCAGTCAACCTGATTCAAAAGAAGAAGTGCACATGACAACGCGAGATTGCAAGACTCAATATCCACGAAGCATATAAAACACACATAAATTTTGCAGCCCTTGCACTTACATAACAATGTTACGAATGTTAAAGCTGTAATTATATGATAATTATATAATAGGATAAAAAACGTGCTGGATCTCACATGTATGATAATGAGTAGTTTCCAAGTTGCTAAAAATTCATCTTACCAGTCAAAACATATAATGGAACATATAAAAATACTCTAAAAGTTTTATAGCCTATAACATCAGAATTTTATGTTCTAATTATGGTAATGACACATGTATTGTGTGGTCCATATCAACATGAGTGTTAAACGGAAGTTTTACCAACTCCTTCATTACTGACAGTTTAAAATAACTAATTAAACCTCTCTATACTGCACCTTGCAAGTAAAAATAAGAATTCTTCATGAGTTGGTGTGCTCAATCGAGCTATTGAGCACGCAGGAAGTTGGGAGTGTAAGAAAAAGCGTAAGAGTTCGGGTCGAAGCGCTACCAAGACCAACTCTAGTTCTTATGAGTTCTCTCCCATGTAGCTTCCCAATTTCCCAGCAAGCGAACGCAAACTCGTTCACTAGAAGAAATAGACCTTTTCGTGCAGCCATATCTACATTCTGGAAATTTTACAGGCATTCATTTCATGAATATAAAGCTACTAAAAAACGCCATGTACTTGATATAAAAAGGCCACCGAGCTTTCATTTAAGGGAATTACATACGATTAGTTGCTTGTAGGTGATACTGAATTAACGTGTAAAACAAGACAATAAGACGATGGAACAACTTTCAAAGAGTTTGTTGTATCACAACACCCTAATAAAATATTAAAAATATCTGATGCAGCGCTCTAACACTTTGTGTGTTTTCGTTTGTAGGTTAGGGTTGGCCCAATTTTGAGTAATAATTTAATACATATTTTATGAAAGAAAAATTTACAGGAAGAAACACCTGCAGGATTTCTTATGGCAGTGAGTAGCTTCCAAGATTCTAACAATTGAACTTACCAGCGATCCATGTCTAGTTTATATTAACTTGGAAAGTGTAAAGATGGTTTGGGACGCATTGATCGTGTGTTGTAATTTTGAGTTGCAGCTTTGTCAAAGTTTTGTAAACCCTGTCTCTATTGGTTTACAATGTCAATGGTTTTATCCGGTACAGCACGTACCGGATTACAGTGGCGTAGTGCAAACAAAAGGCAAATCCGGTACAGAAATCGCGTCGCTTCGATGCAATCCGGTATAGTGTAATCGGGGCCTGAACTAGTGGTTTTTAAAGACCCGTGCGCGAGCCCTGTTTTAATGTATGTAATATAATTTTCGTCTATTTACTCCATTCTGATTGGATTCTGTCTCAGAACCAGTGATATGAAAAACTGGTTTCATATTATTCTGACACCGTAGAGAACAACGAAAAATTCGTCGAACTTGCATATTCGGGTAACTAGCTTCACTAAAACAAGAGTTAAGTCGTCGCGGAAATATTTCGTACACACTTAAATTGGATTAGATTCGCTGCCAATCGCGGTTGACTCGGTAGCTCAATTGTTAGAGCAGCGATCTAGATACCCGAAGGTTTGTGTTCGAATCCCGCAGTACCATGCAGGATAATATGAAAAACTATGTAATTATAGTGATCTCCTACAGTACGAACGAGACTGCCATCAACTGATCAACAATCTTTAACGTCGTGTGAGCATTCACTGGCGTATTTGTTTTGACACAACAAGCTTTTGCGTGGGTTTGATCGAGACTTGAATTATGATTTCATGCCAATTTTACGATGATTGATGGTGAATATATTATAAACTCATTTATTTTCCCCGACATAATATGCTGTTGCGGGGATAATATGTGCCTGCTTGGTGTATTTGCAGTGGCGCCGCCAGCTCGATAATTGCGAGGGGGGCGAATATTCATATCTTCGTGTTCTGCATCTTCGTGTTCTGCAAATCGATTGTTTTTATGGTCTGTGAACACCAATATATGAATATTCGCACCCCCCCCCCCCAATTATCGAGCTGGCGGCGCCACTGTGTATTTGGCCTGTTGTTTGAGAGGTACTTATCTAGATAAATACCTCCTTGGATCTCTAATGAAGGATCTTTGCCTGACACAAACTTATGAATAACAAAAACCGACACAATCAATGTTAAATTCGGTATAATGCACTCTGCCCAATGGCTCTCTTACAACTCAGTTACAATTACATTTTTTCAATAAAAAAATGGAGTAAATACATTTTTTATTGGAATTACACAATTAAATCTTTTGTAATGCTATAGCTTTAAACTACACGTTAAATCCTTTTAAAGATTTAATTCAAACGAAATTGAAAAAACTAAACTTATTTCGTATCTATTTTCGTGATATTAAAATGTATATAGTAAAAAATGTTCAAGTATGATTGAACATGAAAGGCCGCCCTCAGTTGTGCTCAATGCATTACTTTTCATAGTAGAGATAGGTCCAATCATAGTTTTCTACGTTATCAATTTCAGCTTTTGTTTTCTCGTCTATACTTAGTTCTCCATGGTAATAACACAGGAACATATTTTGAGACGTTTTCTCAAACTTTGCTTTGCATCCTTTCTTCAATTGCCAGCACTGCAAAAAGCAATCAGATCCCACAGTGCAGAACCCATCCTTACGATTTTTTTCCACGTATTCGTTTGCTTCCTTAATTGCCTCCTCCATATCTTTGCACTTTTTTACCGAAGCAGGTGGACCATTTTCCACGGAGGCATGGTGTCCTGCAGCCCAACAACGGAAACTCTTGTTACCCATCGTAAATTGTTTGTTAGGTCGAGCTGAAAACCTTGTAAATACATGGTGAAAATCAGAATTTTTGTTTGAAATGATTGTCTAATTACATCGTAAACCGGAAATGGCATCTTATAATCTGGGATTTTCTTGATTCCAGAGACAATATTGATTGAATCTTGACCAGGAATCGCAGCCATAATTAATTCTCATATAACGGCAGGGCTGTCATGAAAAGTTAAATAACCTGTTATAGACACATGTGCTAAAAATTAAGCTAAGTTCGTTATGAATCTCTTTCTTATCAATCTTACATGAATTCTAGCTGACTTGAATCTACAACCCGCGAATTCGAAAAGTTGCTAGGCAGCGGTCCACCGAATTTTAGAATTTTACGATTTGAAATATGGCGTTTTATAATTTTCTGGTATAATTGAAACCTATTTAAATTGTGATTTGTTTATAACAAACGAGTATAGCCCGCCTGCACGCCCAAGGGGAGAATAGTGGGCCTGCAAGCAAGGCCCGGTATTTTGTAAAACGCCCCTTTTCATAACACGCCCCATTCGCGCGTCAATTGTAAAAAAAGAACCAATGACAACAACCCAAATATTAACAAACAAACTCGCATTAAAATGTTGCGGGGTTTTCTCTGCTTTAATATTCAAAATAGAAACAATGTGTAAATGGCTGTGTTTTAACTCCAAAAAAGCAAGCAACGCAATCAGTAATTTGCAAGTGCTCATTTTCAACTAAAATCGGAACAGGCAAATTAGGACGAATTTCAACAGAAAACCAGTCTCAAACTTCAAATCGTGAGGGAAGTCGTGCGACCACATTAGCATTTAAATGTGTGCTTCGCTGTCGCCGTTGTTATAAATAAATTGTCTCACTTATCAGATCGTGTGTGCAATTCTTGTTGGCGGCGGAAAGTACGAATTTATTTCAGTTATTTCATTTGGTAAAGAACTCTACAAAAGAAGAGAGGGTTCAGAGTCCAGATCGTTTCGTTTCAAACGGCAATTACCGTCTTCTGCCTCGCTCTCTCAGCGAAGCCTTGCAAATCGCAAAGTGTTTCGAATAGACTTTATACATGCAACTGCCTTTAAATCTTCACCGCGAAAAGCGCTGTTCTCTTCAGTGCAAGAACAGAGTCAACATCAACCAAAAGATAATTTTCTTGAGGAACATATAACATATCAAGTCTGCTTGAAATTAATGAAACTCAAGTAAAGGTTACTATACTGTAGTTTACCCCGGCAGTCGTATTAAATGTTGCTATTCCAACACTTCACGACAATCAATCCCCATTGGCATAACGGCAAAAACATCTCTTTCTTCAAGTAAACAATAAACAGTCTGTTCTTGTTCCATTTTTAATCGAAAAAAGTGATCAATTTTCGAATTTTAAGCTTATCGAGAGCCTTTGTGATGAATCAGTGATCTAATTATAGAATCAAACAGCAAACAGCCAATCAGAATGCCGCGTTGGTGGGCGAACGCGGAAAGTACAAAATACCGGGTCTTGCTTGCAGGCCCACTATTCTTCCCTTGGGCCTGCACGCGGGCTAAAACGAGTATAGAATGTCATTATGCCCGCGAATTTTGACCATGTTAATCGCGATCGAACGCTAACAGCTGTTAACAAAACGTACTCGAACCGACCTGACCGCGTAGCTCAGTTGGCAGAGCATTGAGCTAGTATTCTAATGGTCGTAGGTACGATTCCTACCGTCGCCAGGCATATTTGAAGCCTGCCCGGTATGGATATACACTCAGAGTAACATCACAAGCATCTTATTCACATGAGTACATTACACCAACACAGAAAATATCAAGGCTGCTTATTGTTCTGGGAACTAAAAAAACGACTTAAACATCTCTCTTATATACAGAGGATCTCGAAAAGTTACAGTAAATAACTTGTTTGTTCCATATGTTGTTGGATTCTTTTTTCACTAATATCCTTGCATGGGGGCTCCTCAGAAATTTTGCTTGGGTATATATGACTCAAACCCTCGGCCTATTTTAGACCAAAAATACGACTTTCCATGTCACATCTCGAATATCTCCCCCAAATCTATACCATATATATGCATATTATTTTCAATTGGCTTTGAAATGTAAACATTTACAATTCACATTCGAATTATGTTCAAATATATACCATCCAACTTTATCAGTTCCCCATCTCAGCCAAAAATCTATCACCTAAACCAGTAATTTCAAATCGTGGAAACAAGACATAAACCATGCTCTGCCGGTCCATGTAACCTATGGGAGAACACCACCGTTCAGAGTGATATATTTCTCCGGTTTCCCGTTTTGTCGCTAAAATCAACGACTTAAGAAGAAGATCAACGACTTAAAGAGCTTTTTGGAATTTATTAATCAAAATGTTGCTCGAATACACTCAATATAATTATGCTATTTACGAATACAATACTAATACTTATATACGATATTAAAAAACGTGCAGAAATTTGCAAGTATGGTGACTATAATGTGATTATTTTTAGGAAGTGAACAAGGTTAATACTATACAGTCACTTACCAATCAACCAGTTTTTAAAGAAGAGGTGCTCTAAAATGGGAAACTCGAGGATGTAAGATCTGAATGAATGTTATGTCGCACTGATTTGGATTTATTTAATATTACAAATTGCGCTAAAGAATGCTAGTCATGCATGTGATTTCAGGAGGGTAGGAAGCTTGATAAACGTTGGGGGCGGGCGGTTTTGGGGGGGGGGATGTTGGTTAGTGGGAGGAAATTCCACAAGGCGCCACCATAGTTGGCGTCGAGCGGAAACATTGGAAAATATTGTCCCTAGATCTCCAGCAATAACATTCTCTACCTCTTTCGTTAGGCACTTTCATTAATTCTCTTATTATGATTTGCGAGTATGCTATCCGTTAGTCAGGATTATTATTAATGGTTATTATTAATAGAATGATCAGCACATTTTTTAAATTGGGGACCTGAAAGCTGTTATATATATATAATATTGGGTGGGGCGCCCACCGTCCCTCTTGCTTCCTACGCCCCTGTGTGAATCATACTCAATATTCTTGCTTAACGCAAGTTTTAGCAAGTTAATTTTAAATCCATAAAAAGGATCACGATCAATCATCACGAATTTACTGTGATTCTATTAATTAATAAGAATGTGGGTAACGGAATGTGGGTTCTAATTTTCGTCTTCAACAGTTTTGCGTGGGCCTTTTAATTAAGGAAGTTTTCAAAGGAAAAGTGATTAGGGATCAAAGTGCGTATCAAGGAGACGATATTCTTCTGGTATTAATTCCTTACATTTTTTAGCAACTCGATGAAATTAATGGTGTGGTTCATACCATCATTACTGTACTGTTGAACGGACATTTCAGCAACTCAGTTACCAACAGTTAGACAAAATAACTCCACGACTCTACCTTGCAAGTGAAATGACTCTTCGCAAAATTTACTCAATTCTGTCTAATTTTCGTCCTCCAACAGTGTTGCATGCGTGCAGATGTTAAGCATATTTATACAGAGGCCAAACAATTGGGTTTAAAAGCGTATCAGCGTGACAATTTTCTTTGACCGAGGTTCAGAATAATTTCCATTATTATTTCAAAGCAATACTTTGCAAGAACTGAATTGAAATGGAAACGCAAAATTGTAAGACGTACAGTACTATATTTCGTGAACATATAAATCACTTTAAATTTTACATTACTATAGGCCTAGTGAACTTTACGATTAATATAAGTGAATACTATATATACGTTGTAAATAGCATTATTTCAAATTGCACTAATTATAAAGAATGCTGATCGTGTGATTCAGAAAAGCTTCGGGATCCTTCCTCACGAAATTATTGTGAAAGCTATTGATAAGAGTGTGCATGGGTAACGGAAAGAAGCCATGTTTTTTGTTCGGATTTTCTTCCTCAACAGTATAGCGAGGCCTGTTAAGAACGTTTCCAAAACAAAACTAATTAGCGTCTTTAGCGATCAAAATGCGTATCATGGAGACAATTTTCTTAATTAAAACTCTTTGACACCATGGGAAGTTTTAAAGCCATACAATTTTTAGCAACTCATTGGAGTCAATGGTACCACCAACAGTTAATGAGTCTAAGTGAAATGAATGTTTACCTGCCAAATCTCAGATAATTTTGTGGAATGTTTCCTTCGATCTAATATTTGTACTCTAATAGTGTTGGGTGCGGCTATTAAGCATGTTTCCAAAAGCAACTAAAATAATTAGCGGTATATATAGCTAATTCAAAAAAGGTTGTCGCTTACAAACCTTAAACTCTAAATCTTAAACCTTAAACTCTAAGCGTGCAAATCATAATGAGAGCATCATATAATCATAGCCCATTTTTTAGAGACATGTCAAATATCTCCTTACGAGAAAAATTCATTCGCAAATAGCTGCAATATTCAATTAGGCTAAGTTTGAAACTTGTGCTCCCATTAAGTTTTGCGCGCTTAGAGTTTAAAATTTAAGATTTAGAATTTAAGGTTTGCAAAGGACAACCTTTTATGAATTAGCTTTATAACCCTATAGAAAATAACCGTATGGAAACGAGACCATTTTCTACTGCCTCCAGCAATCCTTGACGTCATGGGTGGATTTCAATGGCTTAATTATTGTAAGAATTTAGTCTGTTTTGACACAACAACGAATTAACGTTGCAATAGTTTCAATATGACGTTGACAAGTCTGTTGCAGCACTGTAACACTTTTCGTGTCCTTCGCATTGCTTTAGACTCGATCAAGTTTTGATTTACAATTCCATGATAATTTTACAAAAGCAAAATTTACAGGAGGATGAAAAACGTGCTGGATAACCCACGATAAATTGCAATTGATTTATTTCCAACTAAGTAATTACCAATTGGTATTATCAGTTCAAAGCAATGCCAATTAATTTGAGGAGTTGGAAAACAAGCGCACTGTAGGACACAGTTTTTCGGTAGCATGTAAAAAGGCACTCAAACATTATTACTGTACATCATTAGCATGCATAACTGAATATTATGTAGTAACTAGCTAGGATTCATTGTACTAAATAATCTATTGATGAGATTTATATCAACGTAATTGTTGAATGGAAGTTGTAGCATTTTAATTTCAATAGGTAAAATATAGCTTCACGCAATCCTACCTCGCGACCGTTTTATGAAAGTTAGTTATAAGAGTGTGGATAACGGAAAGAAATGGGCTCCCTTTGGGTTCTAATTTTCGTCCTCGACATTGTTGTGTGCGGCTGCTAAGAATGTTTAATTTCCAAAAGCAATGTAATTAGGAGTCAAAAAGCATATCAAGCCGACTATTGTCTTGTGGCGTCAACACTCTTTGACGTCATGGGAAGTTTTAATGCGTTGAGTGCAATTAAGTTATTTTAGTAACAACAACATTGCCTCGTTCACTAGATAAAATGTCCTTTGTCATACAATTTAAGTAATTCATCTGAATAATTACCAAATTGGTATGCTTAAAGGACAACAATCCTTAATTTAGTTCAATTTCCGCTGCCTGTTTGTCGGGTAATTGGAAAGCAGATCGAATAAGATGAAGATGTTGACTCAGTCCTTTTTCCAATCTGTGCAACTTTGCAACCTTCTGAAAAAATATTGAAATATTTAACAATCAGAATTACAGTTAGAGCTTAAATTGCTACCTCACTAATTATTGACGTAGGCGCTTTCGTAATTATCATTCCATACATTTTTGGCATGATTATAAAACGCTTGATACCAAACAAAAAACGTTCATCCAGCGTTGTTTGAAAGCAGTGAGAGTATTAATTTCAGCTTTGACGTAGCACTTTGAGTACACCAGGTAAGCTAAGCTGGTATTTTATTTTACTGAAGATGTTGTCCAAATGTTCCAATGATCTGTAATTAGTATTGGTTTATTAAAACTTAAAAGACACTTAATGCGATAAAAGTGCACGCAATTCCTTTCTGAACGAATGCTTTGGCATTCGTCGCTTTCTATATCTGAGGATAATAAAGTTTAGTTTTAAATTAGTGTAGGTATACATATAGCATAGTTTGAGTACAATTTGAAGAAACATACAGTCACGAGTAACTTTTTCAGAAGAGTCGAAAGGACTATTTGCCCACATGTCCACGGCCCCGCTTCGAAATAAATAGTGAAATATTATAAAAAACGATTCGAAAAGAATTTTGTAGTCCATCGTATATTTAAACCATCGTTTAAAATTCCTTACTTCTTTTATCTGATTCTTTTTGGAAATGTACCAAACAAGTCATTTTATCGTTATTTGTTGATTTTGGGTAAGATAAAGTTCACGATTCCATGGTGCTTTCCGCCGCCTTAACGTAGCGTGTCGTGTATCCGTTAAACCGAGGAAAATACTTTGATGTGGAGGTTATAAGAGAATGAATACGCCAATTAAGAAATCCGATGCATGGGGAAATTGGGAAAATGACTGTTCCATTTAAAATATGTTGGACTCTGTATGTTACTAAATAATCTTGACAGGCACAACATTTAACATCTCCGAGATTCCGGCTATTGTAGAAACTTAATTGTTTCCTGCAGGGTAACTGCATGTCTACGTGATAGAACTGGGTAACTCGCCTTAGCAGGTTTCCTGCAGAAACAGGCCGTCCGATCTCGCCTAGGCGACATTAATATTTTACCATGTAAACACTTTTCACGGCTGAAACTCGGCAATCCAAGATAGAATGTGGGCTACATACCTTGCATTTCAAATATCCGAGCTTAAAAATGTATAAAAATCAATAGGTAAGTTTTCGCCGCTGATTCTTGTACATTTTGTAATGTTTTTTAATGTTTCAAACATCCAACAACTTGACTTAAATACTTTTTGTATTTTGGCGCCATTTTAGCGTCAAGTTGGCAATCAGGAGGCAAATACCGAGTAATTCGATTCCATTTAAACAGGCTGATCGAATAACTCGCCTTGGCTGGTAACTCGTCTCCATAAAAACAGGTCTTAAAAGGTACAGATCAGTGGCTAATGCAGTGCAGCTAACTTAATTTGTGCGGTCAGTATAAAACTGGAGTGATCTTTTCAAATTAGCGGACGACAGATATGAACAAGATTTTAGATTTCAATGAAATAAATTATACAAAAATGCAATAATATTTGCAATGTCCGTACTATTTTCCATCTCGTTACAAAATGTCATAATTGAAGTTTCCAAGTGATTGATACAGCTTCTAGACATATATCGGACCAACCTAAGTCTTAAATTGTGTTTATAGATACATCAGTCTATCTATCTATCTATCTATCTATCTATCTATCTATCTATCTATCGATCTATCGATCTATCTATCTATCTATCTATCTATCTATCTATCTATCTATAAGTTGCATAAGTTGCATCTAAATTCAATTTTGAAAAAATTGATACAAAAGATGTAATAAAACTAATAAAAAAAATAAATTTGCGTAAGGCCTCAGGCCATGATAAAATATCCAATAAGTTATTGAAACTTGCCGGTCCTTATATTTACCAGTCACTCACAGACCTCTTCAGTCTTTCCATTAAGTCGAGGAGCTTTGCAAGTGATTGGAAAATTGCAAAAGTATTTCCTATACATAAATCTGGCGAAAGAGCTGATGCAAATAATTATAGCCCAATTTCAGTCTTATCTACTATAGCTCGTCTATTCGAACGATTAATGTATGATCAATTCTACAGTTATTTAACTGAATATGATCTCATCGATACCAGACAATCAGGTTTTCGTTCACTCCATTCAACGTTGACCGCACTACTTGATATGTCAAACCAGTGGTGTTTCAACATTGATAGGGGAATTGTTAATGGTGTCATATTCTTAGATTTAAGCATTTGATACCATTATTTTAAGCATTTGATACCATTGACCATGAAATTTTATTGATGAAATTAGCATGCTATGGTGTCGATGATCAAAGTTTATTGTGGTTTAGATCATATTTGAATGATAGGCAACAGGTCTGCCATGTAAATGGAGTCTATTCTAACAAGGACTTCATCAAATGTGGAGTACCACAGGGCTCCATTCTTGGTCCAGTCTTATTCTTGTTATATATAAATGATTTACCGAAATGCTTGGACCATAGTATTGCCAGACTATTTGCCGACGACACAAATATGACCTTTACAGGTTGTAACATTAAATCAATTCAAGAGCAAATGACAAGTGATCTAAACAACATATTTCAATGGCTTTGTTCTAATAAATTGACGCTAAATGTCCTAAAAACAGATTTTATGCTAATTGGCTCACGACAAAAATTATCGGCGCTTGACGATTCAATAGTATTATCGGCTGATAATGTGACATTAAGTAAAGTTAGATCTGTAAAGTGTTTAGGTGTCGATATTGACGAGAACTTAACATGGGAAATACACATCCAGAGCATCCGTTTAAAGGTATCCCGTAATATTGCAGCCCTCCGTAAAGTGAAGAAACTCTTTAGTCGGAAAAATCTTGTGTCTCTGTATAGAGCATTAATTGAACCGTATTTTATTTACTGTTCAATTGTTTGGGACAATATAAGTGAGACATTGGAAAAACAATTGCAAGTTCTTCAAAACAGAGCGGCGCGCATAATTACGGGAGCACCCTTATTAAAATCATCTTCGTTGATTTTGGCGGAATTAAACTGGATGAATATAAAAGAAATGCGAGAAAAACAAAAAGCTATTATGATGTATAAAATAGTACATGGTCTTGCACCAGAATATTTAACGGAAATGTTTACATTTCATAGTAGCTTAAATGATTATAGCCTTCGTCAATCCAAATTAAATTTCGAGCTTCCTGTAAATCGAACAGATTATTATAATTCAAGTTTTGCTTTCACTGGAGCAAAGCTATGGAATTCTTTACCAGACGAACTTAAACATGAACCTTCATTAAAAAGGTTCATAAAAAGATTAGAACATCTGCTATCTGCACCAACATAATCAGTTATTATTCTATGAATAATTGTAAATAGTCTCTTTTCTTTCAAAAATTCCAAAAAAAATGTAAAAATGTACGTATATCGTAAATTATACACGGCTTTTAGGAAGAACAAATTGTAAATAATTATTATTTATTCCATTTGATAAAACCACCGTGTTTAAATAAAGATTTCAATCAATCAATCAATCAATCAATCAATCAATCTATCTATCTATCTATCTATCTATCTATCTATCTATCTATATCTATCTATCTATCTATCTATCTATCTATCTATCTATCTATCTATCTATCTATCTATCTATCTATCTATCTATCTATCTATCCGATCTATCTATCTATCTATCTATCTATCTATCTATCTATCTATCTATCTATCTATCTATCTATCTATCTATCTATCTATCTATCTATCTATCTATCTATCTATCTATCTAAAACCGTTCTACGTACAAGACATCTTTAGGGTAAAGTTCAAAATACATTTCGTGCCCCCCTCGTTGAACATTTTCTATGACCATCCTATGATAAACAGTTATTGGATGAGGTTTTTGTGAAATCCAGAATTATCAAGGTCGAAGTACTAAGTGTTATCAGTCGACTGAGCCGAAGGCGAGATGTATAAAGTAACAAAAATCGACAGTCGCCAATTTCGTTCGCCCGCATGCAGGAAACTAATATTCAATTCAGGGGGCGGGGTGAGATATTAACTTTCTTGGACTTCGTGTTCGGACCATGGTATTATCCTCTCAGTGAATATGTTCAAAAGATAAAGTTAATCACATAGCAATCATTGTAATATGGATGATTGACGATAGCTTTTGTTAACATGAATCAAATAATATTAATTCTTTTTGGTAATAATTCACTGCGCCAATGGGTAAGTTGTGACATCCACTAACGCACGCCTCGCCTCTGGTGGCACCCCCCCCCCCCCATCGCTCCTGATTTCATCATTTTGTGCATCCCTTCTGAAACTCATCAGCAGACTAAACGAACGAATTTCCGAAGGGTTGCCCCACTTTATCAGATCTAGTAACGATCTTTTCCTAAAGTGAGTGGACTACTGAGCCTATGGAAAGTTTCTTTGTCGAATAATTCCGAACGCGGTAAACCGGTTCTAACCGGGTTTTTGATGCACGGCAGGGCCTTTTTTAAGGATTTTCCCGTGGGGGGAGGCATTTTTTGAAAAGGGACCTTTCTGTGAGATAATATATTAGAGGAGGATAGCAATGGCTGAAGGCCACGTGTGGCCAATATACTACGCCTGAATGGGAGGGGGGGGGGGGTCTGGTGGTGTACTCCCCCAGAAAATTTCCCCCGGTAATGTCATTTCCTGCATTCTGAGTATCCAAATTTGCTCCAAAATTTATCCTAACTATACTTGTATTTGAAATAAATAAAGGAAAAAACGCACAAAAAGTAAAAGAAAAAATGAACCATCATTTATCATTACTTATTAGAGGAGGATAGCAATGGTCACGTGTGTGGGGGTGTACTCCCCAGAATATTTTTGAAATTTGAAGCACAGAAATGCCATTTCCTGCATTCTGAAACTATACTTGTATTTGAAATAAAAGAAGGAAAAATGCACAAAGAGTAAAAAAGAATATTAACCGTAATTTATCATTACTTATTTGAGGGATAATCCCCAGAAAACTTTTGAAATTTGAAACCCGGAAATGCTATTTCCTGCATTCTGAGCATCCAAAAAATAAAATATTATTAACAATAATTTATCATGGAGAAACGTAACAATCTAAAAATGTGATTTCGTGGGGAGGGGCACAAGGAGGGACTGAGGGGCATTTGCCCCCCCCCCCAGCTTGTATGTTAAAAAAGGCCCTGCGGGGCGGGGGGAGGCAGGGCCCAGTCAAAATGAATTCGCGGGGCAAATTATAAACGTAATTCGGGTAAAAATTGGGGGAATAACTTAAAAAAAGACATATGCAAAATAAGTTCTTTGTATGTTTGCATGGTGATAAAATATAATAGGTTTTGTTTGTGGAAACACCACGTAAATTTATTACTGCAAAGCTTTCGATCCGTAAGCCCGGATCTTCATCAGTGCCATAGATTAAGTAAGGACAGATGTGTAACTTCAGTAAAAAAGTTGTCCCATGGTCGCCATCTTCCTAGCAAGTGTCGCTCGCGTGATTATTCGTCATTTGGTAGTACGTCATTGCCTTCAAAAATGTTTTCAACACCTTTTCTACAACTTTAATTGCTTTTAACAACTTTAAACATTCAACAAATGATGCTCTTGATTGTTTAATCCATAAATTTCGATCCAAGAAAGCCGCAATAAAATGCAAAAGTTCATGTTTTCCAGGACGCCATCTTCCTAGCAACATGGCGTGAGCATGACGTGTACATCTAGGGAAATTTGAGGACACGAAGTCCTATTAAGTTACACATCTGGTATATACTTCATCTGTGTCAGTGCTAATAATATGTGACTTGTTTAATTCACACGCTCTTTTTATATACAAGAGTGTCGTGATCTGTTGGCTCGCGTCATTTGAAACTTAATTAAACGGCACATCAACAACGTCATTTCAAAACGTAGTGAAGTGATTCCAATTAACGCGCGCGCATCCAAGACAAGA